GGTCCCTTCCAATCCCCGACATTCTGTGATAGTGAAAGGAAAAATGAAAACCAGTTTTTGAGGCTTGGGGAGAGAAATTAGACCATTCAAGCTATCCTCCTTCGTATTATCCATTTCGTTTTACTGAGTTTAAGCTTTTTCATATTCACGTCGGGAGGTTGTTACACACATATGCAATAATTGTGTATCGTTTGATTTGCTTGCTGTAGGAGTAGCTAGAAGCTTCTAGCAGGGCTGCTCTAGCACCTGTACCCTCTGATTTGTGTTTGTTACAAACCCAAGCAATTGCATGAACTTGTGAAACCTACTCCTAGTTGTGCAACCAAATGAATCACTGCTTCACTTCTGTGCACTAGTGAAGTAAGAGTTGTGCTTACTGTCTGTCACAGTATGTGTTTATATATCACAGTATATGTTTATCTAACTTGTGGTAAAGCTATTAATGTTCTTTTCAGCTTAATTCTAATTGTTAACTTCTGTTTCAAGTGATTCTGCTAATCCAGCTGAAAGGGAAACGGATGAAGTGGTTCTGAGGAGAAGACAAAAACAGATCAATTTTGGGAAGAATACCCTTGCGTATGACAGATACATTAAAGAAGTTCCAAAGTAAGTTGCACTATGTTGCACATTTCCAAATAAACTCTTTATTAGTTCCTGATGTGTGTAGATCAGCACACAGCTTTAGTTCTCTTAAAATTATATGAACAGTAAGTGAAGAAAACTTGAGATTCTTATCAAGGAGAAACCAGGTATTTTGAATTGAAGGCTAGATGCTCCCACTGTGCATTGCTGTTGCTAGTAGCAAACATGCTTTAAATAAGTTCTGTATTAATCGGCTCCCTGAGACACTTCAGGTGACTGTATTGCTAGACCAGTGTGAAGTTAATTGATACCAGGAAATGGCAGCTTTGAATGAGGAGTGAATAGAGCCTTGCCTTTTAGTATTGGTAGGGGAAACCAGTCTTCAATGATTCATCAGTAACTAAGAAATCAAAACTTTGATTTCTTTCTGTCTCTGTTGTTCCACTTTGAGCTTCAGTCTGTGAATCGTGGCACTTAAATCAAGATTTCTGAGCCAGTCCCCTCTGCTTACTGCACAGTATTGAGATTCAGAAGCTAGTGTGTGGTAGTATGTAGATGTGCATCTGTGTTCTTGTTCAATTTTGAGGATTTTTTTTTTAAATATGGCTTACTGCTTGTAGTTACCAGCTTTCTCTGGATTCTCTTAAGTGTCTGTTATGAAAACTGCCAGCCAAGTGCAATGGACATTGGAAGCTTGATGAGCAAAACCTGAAAGATTAGCCTAGATGACTGGAATCAACAACAGATAGTGTAAATGATCACAGATATCCCACAATATTATGATTCCATCTTTAGTAACATTTTTTTCATCAGAGGGTCTTGGATTGCCTTGTGAGTTGCATTTTGCTTATCACTTTGTCATCAGTGGTAGGGCTGCAGCCAGTCTTACAGTGATGCCTTGTATCTGCATAGCTGTGCTATGATCAGTTAAATCATAGGTGGAGAATAGGAAAGGGTGAGAACAATGTTCAGAAAAAAATATGAAATAGACCTTTAAAAAGTGTTCTGAGTGGCATTTTAACGGGGTAGTTTGCAATACTGTTCCTTCACAGGGATCTCTATCTTATGAGAAGTGTTATGACTAAGTACATTGATCTGTGAAGCTGGTAGGGAGAGCCACTTGAAGCCAAGGTACTTTGTGTGATTTAAAACATTATTGCAATATGCTTCCCCTCAGGCATAAAGCTGACTCCAGTATGGCAGGACTATAAACAAGATTACTTTGTACTGGAGATACGGTTTGAGTGAGCTCTCCAGTAATGCTTGGAGGGCAGGATCTGGGTTTGGGATGCCATCTGAGAAATAGCACTTCCAGCCATGGGGTGATCCCAGAGACCTTTGTTACAGTGTCTGCCCAGTGTTGGTTCAGTGGAAAGGCATATCATTTACATTTTACCCAGAGAGCAGGAGCACTGTGTTTTCTTTATTCCCAAAAGACAAATGCTATTTAGAATTATATCAATCCCATTGTAATAATTCATGGACAGTGGTGGAAGAAAAGTTCACTAAAGATACTTGTGGGTCGACACTTGCCAGCAGCCAAGTACCCACACAGCTACTTGCTCCCTCCCTTCCTCTCCCCAGTGGGCTGGGGAAAAAGTAGAGCAAAATAGACAATACTGATGGATTGAAGTAACAGCAGTTTAATAGGTGAAGGAAAGAAAGGGGAGGAAAAGCAAGTGATGCAAATCCAGTCACTCACTACCACCCACAAGCAGATTGGTGCCAGGGTGTTCACTGAGCCGTGCCTACTTTGGAAGACAGCACCTGGTTTTTATTGGTGAGCATGATATTATGTGGTGTGGAATATCTCTTTGGGCAGTTTGAGTCAGCTGTCCCAGTGGTTTCCCCTCTAAACTTCTTGTTCACTCTCAACTTAACGACTGTGGAAGGAGGCAGGGCAAAGTGGGGAAAAAGAGAAGGCCTTGAAGCCGTGCAAGCACAGTTCAGCAATAGCCAAAAATTAATGTGTTACCAGGATTGGTTTAGCCCTAAGTCCAAAACACAGCACTAAAGGGACTGCTATGAAGGGTGTTAACTCCATCTCAGCTGGGCTCAGTGCAATACTAAATACAAAGAAACTTCACCTGACTCAGGAAAACTGAGACAGAAGTAGCTGGAGGTTGGGATACTATTGAAGAAGTGTGAGTTATGCTGTTTCTGTTTCATATTTGCCCATGGGCAGTAGGGATTGGCTTTTGGCAGCTGTCAGAGTGGACTGGATGAACATCTGGTCTGACTCAGCATGTTATTGTTAGTTGTTGCTTGTGTGGTCTGTTTTTGACAATTTCAGTTAAGAGTTTTAAAAATATGAATATTTTATTTATTAGGCCACTGATGCCTGTGTGATCTGGTGGCCTGAGGATTTTATTTTAAGACCGAAAATCATGTTCTAAAATAATAAATGTTACTGTGTATTTACAGGAATCAGCGAATACCAGGAGTTCATCCTAGAACTCCCAACAAATTTAAGAAGTACAGCCGAAGATCTTGGGACCAGCAGATCAGGCTGTGGAAGATAGCACTGCATGCCTGGGATCCTCCTACTGAAGAAACCTGGGATCTGCAGCCAGTGTGTGTGTGGGGGAATTAAATCAGCACCTATCTCTTGCTTCACAGCAGGACTCTCTTATTTCCTTTAGAGCATTGCTAACTGGGAGCAAGAGAGGAGATCAAGCTCAGAAATGGGAGTCTCCTTAAATGCTTTGTTTTCCTTTTGAATTCTGTTAATCTTCAAGATAATTCACATTATTTAGTCTAAATTAATCTCCAGTAAGGTGCTTTGGGGAGGAAGGCATTTGGTCTGTTTACAGTACGACACTCCCTTCCCCTGTGTGTTTACACTGGTGAGCACAAAGTGAAATTATTTTTCTAGGAAGGGACAGGCATGAGCAGTAATTCAGTGATTGCTGTTCCTTGACCTTGATAACGTAACCTTTTCATCTTTCCTTTTTCCGATGTCAGCCACCTTTCTTCAGGAATAACAATATGTTAGAAGATTTGAGAAATGTAAGATTAGAGAGAGATTTCTCTGCTCTTTGCAGGAGAGTGCTAACTGTGTTCAAGATGGAATTTTATTTTTTTTTTAATCTTTTGAGAACTTTGAATTGCTGTAGCAAGGCTAACTGTGAATTGACACCACCTAATACTTTACAAGATTTGGACTAGTAAATTAGGAGGAAAAGCATGAATGGAATTCTCTTAGCTCTGTTAACTGCATTGTGTAAATAGTTTTAGCTGTGTTGTAATTGACCTACAGTGAAAGTTTGCAGAATTTATATGTCATATGAGATGAACTGTTAATTGTTACTGCAGCTTAACTGTCTTCTGCATGGAGCAGTAAGCCAGCTGGGATAGTATGTTACATTCTTTTTCTTTTTTTTTCCTGTTTTTAGTAGGACAGAACCCTCAGGCAGTTCCCAGGAATGGTTCTGCAAAGATCAGGATGTTTCTGGCTCCTTTGTATTTGACGAAAAGCAGAAGAGAAATGAGTGTGAAGATGAGTGCAGACAGACTGAGCACACACCAGAGAGGTATGAGGTGGAACTTCTGTGGTTAAGTCATTGAAATAATTCAATGCATGTTGAAGCTGTCATGTTTTTTGTAGGAAATGTTTAGTGAGGGAGGGCAGTTAATGCTCAATTTCAGAGTCTGGTACTTTGGCTGTTGAATGTAATCCATCACTGGTACAGAGCATTGAATGTGTAAAAATTACCAGCATTACAGAATTGCATGATTAACAGCAGAAAAAAGCAGTGTTTTGTTCAGCTTCTCTGTTTGTACAGTGGAGTAGTGAGGTTTCTTTAACCACTGTTGGCAAGTACTGAAATAAGGATACCTTTTTCAGAAGCAAGAGTGACCATCCTCAATTAACAGTATTACACCTGTCTGCAGAACAGCAGGGAAGCCAACAGTGAAGCACCTTATGCACCTCCCTGTTTACTGAGATATCTTGATCTGGTGGCGTGGCTGGGGAGCTGAAAATGGGGCTGCTCCACATTTCTTCTGATTGTGACTCGGTTCACTTTCCAAAATACAGTGGAGTGGTTACCAAAATTTGAGCCACTTTCTCTGTGTTCCTCTGTTGTGACTGAAGAATCATACCCTAAAAAAAAGTCTTCCTGTGTAGTATGTGCCATTGTTTTGCAGAACTCTGATAAGCATTTAAACACAGACGGAAAATGTTGTGTGTGTAAAATCTGTCTTATTTTTGTAGTCCCTGTTCTCCAGATTCTTCTCCAGTATGGAAACGCAGAAAAAGAAACAATTCTGACTCTTCTGTGATTTCAAAGAGCGAAAACCATTATGTGCATATGTACCACACACTGGAAAGGTATGAAATGATTCTCCATATGGAGATGCACTGATATTATGAAATGACTTTTGGAATATGGAATATGACTGATACTTATCCATCCCATCCCACACAAGTGTATTTAAATATGTGTGCCATTTAATGAGGAAGGGAAATCATGCCAGAATAATTGTGTTGTATGGTAGCAAGTATTTACAGTGGTCCACTGCAAAGGTGAAGAAACTTCATTGTCAGAAGACACAACATAGGTTATTTTTTGTGTGTCAATTTAGGCAACGCTAATGTCTTGTTCTTTATTTCTCATGGAACCTGGTTTCTGCTTCACAAGTTGTAATTCCAGAGTGGTTAGGCATCTGCCATAGTTATTTCTATAGTTGAGTCCAGCACAGAGCCACCAAGATGATGAAGGGAGTGGAGCATCTCCCTTATGAGGAAAGGCTGAGGGAGCTGGGTCTCTTTAGCTTGGAAAAGAGGAGACTGAGGGGAGATCTAATTAATGTTTACAAATATGTTAAGGGCAAATGTCATGAGGATGGAGCCAGGCTCTTCTCAGTGATGCCCAACGATAGGACAAGGAGCAATGGGTGTGAGCTGGAACACAGGAGGTTCCGCTTAAACTTGAGAAAAAACTACTTTACAGTGAGGGTGACAGAGCCCTGGGACAGGCTGCCCAGGGAGGTTGTGGAGTCTCCTTCTCTGGAGACATTCAAGACCTGCCTGGACGCCTTCCTGTGTAAAATTGTTTAGGTTCCTGCTCCGGCAGGGGGATTGGACTAGATGATCTTTTGAAGTCCCTTCCAATCCCTAATATTCTGTGATTCTGTGATTCTCATAGCTCTTGCATGCACTGCATTCTGCTTTTGGCATACAAGTTGATGAACGTTGTGGTAAGGGAATGGAGCCCAAATGTGCACTCATTATAGGCAGCCTATTTAATTATTAACCATGTTACATTTACTACAGGTATTACAGAGAATAGTTGTTTGTGAAGGGATGTGAAAGTAGCTTTGTATATTTTAATTAAGCTTTTCCCTGCCTTATGCATGCTGGTATGGAAGAAAATGCTTGTTGGAACAACGAAGAATTGGTCACCCAGCCTGGGACTGGGGCAGAGTAACATTAATGTTCAAATATGGATAACAGAAGGGTGGAGTTTTTTGGGCACATGCTAAGTTTTTCAGGAATTAAACTAGTCATCTAGCAATTGGTCTTAATCATATTTCCTTTTTTCCCCTTTCCTAGCTACTGCATAAGTCTTCCTATGAATGAGAAATTATAGGCTATCTAGAGGAGAGCATGGTTTAACTCTATACAAATTTTTGACAGAACCACAAGAAAACTGGAACAATTATTTAAGTTTTTTGGGGTTTAGTAGGCTTTTCACAGTAACATTAGTAAAAATGTTTATACAGGTGTGTTTCCTCTCGACTTAGCCCCCTCATTTTCAGAAAATTAAGAGGAACTGTGTTACAAAGGTCCATCGTTTCAGACCTTTTCACTTCCTTTCTAGTCTTACTGAATCAGGATATCAGGAGGCTTTTTCAAAGTGCTCAGAGTGGGATGCCTTTGGTGAAAATGATGAAGTAATGACAGTACAACAGGGTATAGAAATAACAAGGTAAATATCATAAGGATGTTCTTTCTGTTTTATTGCTTGTACTGTGAAGGTGTTCTTTGATATTTTTTTTAAATCTTTCTTTTCCTTCACTGTTTAATACTATGAGAGTTTGGGGTTTTTTTTTCCCTTATATTTCCTCCAGTGTGTGGTATATTTCGTTGTTTTTTTCTTCTTTGAGTTTACTTATCTTTTTCCAGTCTGACTCTGTATCTATTGCTTTATGCTGCTTCTGCCATTAAGTAATGCTGGAAGACGCTGAGCCCTTTTCACCCTCTTGGTCTTATGGAAAGCAATGACATTTTGCAGAATGGGTCCCCATGGTTGTTACTAGCCTCTCACTTCCTCAGCCTCAGAGCTGAAAGCTTCCCCTCTGTCTCCCTGGAGATTAAGTTGGTTTATAGCTGACAACAATGGTAGTTACTTGTTTTTATGCAGTGACCCGATTCCAGCCAGTTGTTCTTCAGGATGGAACAGTCAGAAACAGAAAAACAACTTCTTTCTGCCTGACAGCAGAACTTGCAGAGACACAGACTGCAGGCTGGAGAGGTATAAAATACAGCTCATCAACTGGGGGCTTTTTTTTTGCGTGTTAAGTTAGAAGCATAGTTGCTTTACTGCTGTATTTCAATCCAAATTTTTATTATAAACATAGATTTTTTTTTTTTTTTAACTAATCTTCTTAGAGATGTGTTGGCCAGTATTTATATATTGTGTGGTAAAATTCTTTTCTTATGCTCTCATGTTATAGTCTGTACTAGAGTAAATAGCAGGTCATGTTTGTATTTAGTGTAAAAAACTTACCATAATAAAACCAGTTAATCTTTGAGATTTTTTTTTTTATTTGTAGGCTTAAACTTTGTAGCACTTTATTGGAAGGACATCAGTCAGAATACTCTGAAAGAGGATGGGGAAGTTCAAGTGCTGAAGATAGAATAATGAGGAAAAAAATTTAAATACCAAGGTGAGTTCATGCTGACTGCTTATTTTACCTGTTCTGTTTCAGTAGCCCATTTGCAGTGTCATTCCACAGAATCCAACTCTTCAGTTCAAGCAGATCAGTTTCTCTTTTTGTTCCTTTCTAATATTAGTATTTTATCCCATCCTCTTGTATTTAATGCAGCACCTTAACTAAAAGATCTAATACTTCAGACTTAGCAAATTGAAATATTTACCTGTTCAGCCAGAAAACATGTGTTTTATCTTATCACCTAAATGAAAAGTGACAGAGTTTTTTTTTATTATTTCAGTAGCAGCTTTTCTGCCTCTTAGTATTTTTGTGATGAAGTCACAACTTTGCATTTGCAGCAGTAGATTTCACTGAAAATTTTCTCATGGACTTCAGATTCTTGTGGTGTGTTAATAGGATGGGTAGTATCTTGAGGTAAACAGGTTTTGTTAGCAGATGCTCTTTTGCATAATTTGATTCTTCGATCTGCATTTAATGAAGACTCTGAAACATTATGGACCAGGGTAGAAACATCTGTTTAACAGTGATCTTGGAATATTTTGCATAATATTCATTAAGAATATGACACACAATTAGTTTTATACTACTTAAGTTCTGAATTCTAGCAGTATGAGGAAAAGACAGGTAGAGCTTTTAAAAAAAAATTGTGCTAGTGGTGTTTTTTCTATTGACTTTATTGTGCTTTTTTAGTTTAAAAACTCTGAGCATGAATTTCACTTTTATAAAATGCTAATTCAATATTTGAAAATGTCTAGTCTCTTTGTATATAGAAGTATCAAAGAAGAAGGACTTTCTCCTGTGACCGAAAATGATTTGAAGAATAGAGATATAGCCTGAGACCAGCAGATCAAGCCTTGGAAAAGTGGTGCAGTCACATAAGATCTGCACTGAAAGAGGAAGAAATTTATGGTCAGCATATGTGCAATCAACATAAGGTGAAATGTGCAGGTAAAGGAAGCGTGCCTCTGTACGTCACAGTTAAGAGAACCATTCTGATGATTCTAGATGGTTGAAATTTAGCTGCTTTTCTGTTGTCTTTGTTGTAAATAAGGCTCTATTAAGGAGTGTATATATTCAGTGGGTTCATAATCATTCATTTTAACTGAAAAAATATCTTTGTGACTTGTAGAATGTAGAAAGTGAATTAAATAGGTTCTCTGTGGAGCAACACATTGGTTTTCCGGGATGCAAAGATCAATATTTAGGGAGACACTGCCTTTAACCGTGGTTTTTAGGCGTGATGAGGTCTAACTCTCAAATGGCAGGAGCTTCATCTGTGGAAGGTGAATGTTGCTTGAAAACCAGATAGTGGGTTACATGGTAGAGTTTTGCACCCCCTGCCTTTTTCCTAAAAGAAAATTTCTGTCTTAAACAGGAAAAATAAATGTGGGTGTTTTAGAGCCCAGTTAAATGTTCTTAAGTTTGAATGTATCTGGTTGCTTTTTAAAGTGAAAAAAAAACCTTAATCAGTAGAACTCTTAAGATATGGCAGGAATGTGTTAAGTAGAATTGAGAGAAAAATGTATTTTATGAATTAATAATGACAGGTGAAAATTATGCAAAGCTCAATGGCTTCATTTTCTCTTTGACAAATACTTTAAGGATATAGGGTATGTAGTACTCTCTCTGTTTTTCTAATAACCAATGTTCTCAAGAGTGTTCATACTCTCTGAAACTCTTTAGTGTGGACAACATGGCTTTGTCTTTTATACTGTGCTTTAAGATCAACATACGCAGTGCTCTGTTCCATTTACTGCTGTTGTAACACTGCAGCTTACAAGAGTAAATGTTTTGCTGTTAATGACTAGATATATCATATTTATAAAACACTGTTAATCTGCCTTTTTGTTTAGGTTTCTCCAGATCCTGTAAGGATAGATTGTTTCCTGCAAACTCTGCCTCAAGTGTAAAACTTCAGATTTCATTAAGCCTGCGCGACGATGATGATGGATGTTCCATAAAGCTTTTATGAGAATGTTTCTGCTTTACCTGCCTTGGCAGGTGATGTGTGCATCATATTGTAAAGACTGCTTCGGTTGATGGATCCTGCTGTTGCCATTTGGAGATCATGCTACTTAGAGTGCACTGATGTTATGCTGGTGAATTGGTCCAATATCAAACGAAACTGAAGAATGCTACCCCTTAAACCAAGGAGTTAAACCTCTTTCCTTTACTGGACCAGGATTGTACTTCCAACCTGAAGAACTGCTTCAAAAGAATATAGATAATTTCAACCTTTCTCCAGGGGTTAAAGACAGACTGTCCTTAGCTTTTGGACTGAGTGATCATCCATTTGTCTTATTTACTGTTCTCTGAGATGAGATATATTAAGCTAGTGTTTCCCTAAACCTAGTGAGAGAAGAGAAAGGAGAGGTAGATGGTTTATCAAAATCACATCTCTCTGTTTAAGGTGATAAGTGACAGTTTGAACAGCAACACAGCCTAAATCCCTGGATTTTGCTTTTATGTGTGTTGCAGCCTGACCTAAAGAGCCAGTCTACTGCTAAGAGTATAAGAGGATGAGTTCAGTGCCCGCTGTTCCTACAGGAATTGGAGGTGAGCAGCAGTATTTACAGGTCTGTAGCTGCTATTGGGCATGGGGTGTCCAGGCTAAGGATTGCAATGATGTTGAGGTAGCCTCTCGTTTGTTTTACTCTAGCACTGTGCTGAGGTCAAAGTGAGGGCTGAGGCTATGGTGGAGTTTAGACCAGGTTCATGTGCCAGTTACAAGGATTTTTTACAGTCCTTGTGGCATTTTATGTAGCATGTACTGGGATACAAGTGTCTGTTAGAGCTGGGAATTGTCTCTTTGCAGGAGTTTGGTTTGGCTTTTCGCAAGGCCAGAACTGTGAGTGCTAGGGATGACACAGCAGCCTTGCTGTGGGGCTGGCAGTGTACTCAAGAGCGAAAAGCCTGTTGTGCTACTGATGTGGAAATAAGCTGGTTCCCCAGAAACTGCTCCAAATCCCTTCCAAAACATTTCCAGGCATGCTCAGGCATGGGGTTCAACAAGGGTGGCTCAGTCACAGCACAGAGCACAGAGTGTGTGTATACAGGGACCCATCTGTACAGCACTATTTAAAGAAGTGATATTTAGAACCCTGTTGTTCCAGTGTGCATGCTTTTGTGTGATTTATGGTAATTGTAAATAAAGGAATGTGTTACACTTTTGGCATTTTGTCTTTATGCAGAAGAATTAAAGACTTTAAAAATCCCTGTTAGTTTGCTTTTTGCTGTTATGTTGTCAGAGTTTCATTATAAAAGGATTGTGTAGGTTCAGTAGTCCTTTTTTATTTGTTTTAGTGTGTTTTGTTTATTTTGGGGGTTTTTTTAGCCCTTGCTAAAAGAGGGAAGGAGGACTCTTCAGAGATTAAATCAAACTCCTGTTTGAGTTTACAGCTTGGGTTGTGTCCAGCCCCTCAGTTTGTATTTTGACATCTTGTCATGCACTTGTATTTGGTGCATTGTAACCTGGTGGAAGGAGCAGCTGAAGCCCTAGCACCCGTTCTGCCATGAGAATGGTGTCCTGGAGAGGATGGAGCTGTTAGGTGAGAGTAATAAGCTGTCATGAAATACCTAAACTAAGCTGTCAGAACCCTTAAGCTTTTGCCTGTGATGGACAGGGCCTGCAGCGGATTTATGGACACAAATCCATAGGATTTGTAACTGAGCAATCCTCAAAAGATCTTGTATTTCTCAGTTAAAGGTACTTGAATTAGAAATAGAAGAACCCATCTGCCTGTGGCAGTTAAATTTTGGGCAGATTTATTCCCTGATCCAGGTTCTGTACACTTGGACAAGCTATCCTGGCACAAGAGGAGGAAAGAAACTGAGCAGGTGAGGCTTGAGGTCCACTGAAGTAATTTCATGCAATGCTGCCACTGTATGTAGAACTATTGTAATGTCCTCTAATTAGTAACAGTAACCTCATCAGTCTAAACAGAGCAGTTAAAACTGAAACACAGTCTGTCCATTCACTTGCGTTATCTATTCAAGGCTGTTTGACATGAGAGTTTACAACTGAGGTTAGCAA